GTTCTGTCTCCCCCCTCTCTGTCTCAGAGTCTCACAGAAGTACAGAGCTGCACCCTGAATATGACTCAGACAGAGCAGCACAGGATGAAAGGGGTCACTGGCCTGGTGCAGGGGTCCACCAGCTTGTCTGTGCTCTGGGGATGCCTGTGGATCCCTTCACAGAATGTTTGAAATGGAAATAAGGGATGGCAAATAGAACCAATTATATTGAAATCTAGTTATTAACATGTCTAAGTGACACATTTGCAATATAAAAGTGTGCGTGCTTCTCCTCCATTAAGGCATTAAATAACAAAATCTAGTGGACTAAAAAAAAAATCTAACTTCCAGAATTTCAAAATAGTGATGAGGGAAATCCACACTGCTGAGATACCAGCAACCTCCTAAGGTACTATAAAGACATCTGTTATCTCTAACTGTGGACAAAGTCACAGAGTTGCTCCCGCTGCTGTGGCCTGCTGCCTGTCTTCACGGAGGAACAACATGGCCAACTCCGGGTGGAAGTCTGAGAAAACAGAGATCCAATTATTTCCCATCCAAGTTCTGGGACCTCCTGGAGACCCCGTGAACTCCAGGTAAAGAGCTCAAAATTAGTGCAAGGGAGGATGTGGGGGAGATAAAGGAAATGGGGTGGGGGGAGGGGACGTGGGTGTACCTATGAGTGCAATGGCATGCATAGGAGGAGAGGGCTTCCCCTTCTCAGGTGATCCCCGGGCATGAATCTTCGAGAATCTTCCCAAAGGCCCCAGTGCCCAAACAGAGCTGCTTCTGCTTCCTCCCAGGATACCTCCAAGTGCTCTGCAAGACTTTCTTAAGCACTGCTGACCGTCAGACTCATTAGTACCAAGGTATCGGCGAAATTCCAAGTGAGAAATGCAGGCGACTGCCTGGCAAATTGTTCTATGCAAGTGAAGGCTGGAGATGGTTGTCCTGCAGGCCCCAACCCCTGGGAATCCCTTTTCCTGCCACACACTTTGGAAGCCCTCCCCACCGCACATACTGTAGGGTGAAAGCACACAGATCTGGCTTGGAAGGAGACCTCACCCTCTCTAGGTTATCCACGTCTCAGAACCCATCCATCTCACCTTCGGTAATGAGGAAGCTGCCCGCTCCCCATCACACATGGCTCCCAAAAGGGCCGTGCCTTCTGTTTAAGGCTTAATCTCTACACACATCATAAATGCAGAGAGCATGGACAGGGGGAAGCTAATTGGTATGATTCTGCCTTTAATTTGAACGTGGCTGTCTGGCAGAGTGCCAGTTTTCAGCCCAGAACAAACCTCTGTGGCACCCTTGTTCAAAGCTCTCTGCAGCACAGGCTTTTCCTGGGCAGAAAAGGGACCCAAGCGTCTGACAGGAGAGGATGATGCTGGGTAAGCAAGCTCCTGAGTGTGGAGGGCCCCTTGGCACTCGGTTCAGAGCTCAAAGGATCAGGGCACTACACACACAGGTGGCTCCCGGTGCCCTCAAGGGCTTGTGTGTTGGAAGCCGTAATTATGTTGCAAGACCATGGTCCCTGTGTTGCAGTTCTGTTACCCAGACTGCAAGCACTGTGCCTGCAAAGAAATAGGCTGCTTCCTGTGTTAAGTTTTGCAAACCACATGCAGAAAATGACACAGAAGTGACCATCTCTGCTTTGTTCAAGGGAGGCTGAGGCCACGCAGAACCTGCACAAAGTCATGTTCACAAAAACAGCATCTGTCATTGAGAGTACACACTCTGGCACCAGTAACTCCAACACAAAAAAAATGTGCAAGGGATACATATTTGCACATGTATTTGACTTGACCACCAGTGGGGTGGGAACAGAAGTGTGGGAACCAATGTCCCAGGCCCATATCCTGGAGTGGTGGAGGGCTCTATGTGACAGACGAGAGACAGGAGCTCCGTGTCACTCCCAGATGACTCTGCCCCAGATGCACCAGGAGACCTGAGGCAAGTCCTTTCCCTCTCAGGCCCTGCTTTTTCACCAGGACAATGGGAGGTGAACTGGCCCATCTCTGAGCCCTGACAACCTCACACCCCTGGGAGGTAGGCTAAGATAAAGCTACTTCTAGGGGTGTCAAGACCCTTCCCCTTCCTTTACACTTTTAACAACTCATCTTCCTCCTTGCCCCTAGCCCTGAGTGAGTAAAATTCTCAAGGTTAAAAGCTTTTTCCACTTATGCTAAATGTGGAAAAGAAAACCAATCAAAGGATACGGAACAGTTCCTCAGGATTTCTGGAAAAGGCTGAAGGAGCTAAATAAAGGGTTCTTGATGATTAGCCCAGCAAAGCTATCATCATTGTTACGTGGACAAATTGTATTGCATGTCAGAGCTCATGGGAGATGCACAATAATTTATCAGTCAGGACCCAGAAAATTGTACAGTACGAGTGCCTCTGCAGCTCCATGTCCCTGCCGTGCTGTCCCTCCCCCGGTTCTGTTAAAGGGACACTGCCAAGAGAGGCCCCCAGTTTAGGCCTGAGTTAAAAAAAGCACTTGACTTACACCCAAAATGAATAGAACTATCTCTGTGACGTTGATACGTAAACAACAAGAAGAGGAAAACAGTATTTTTCTCCCTTGTTCTCCTTCCCTTCTGTGGTTTCTTTCCATTCTCCAGGGAGTTTCCCAAATACAACCTCAATAAAGGAAACTCAGTGTGTAGTAACCCTGGAATTGACCACAAAGACAAATGCAACTGACGTGGTGAGAGGCTGGCATTGTGACACAGCAGGTTAAGACACTGCCTGCAACACCAGCATCCCATATAGCAGTGACTGTTCAAGTCCTAGCTGCTCTACTTCTGATCCAGCTCCCTAATAATGTGTCCTGGGAAAAAACAGAAGATGGCCTAGGTGCTTGTGTCCCTGCCAGCCGTGTGGGAGACTGGGATGGACCTCTTGGCTTCAGCCTGGACTAGCCCCAGCCATTGTAGCCATCAGAGGGAGTGATCCCGTGGATGGAAGATCTCTCTCCATGTGTCTCTCCCTCTCTCTCTGTCGCTCTGCCTTTCAAATGAAATAAATACATTTTTAAATATTAAAAAAAAAAAGAAACTTGAAGAACCTTAAAAAATCAAACCAAGATGGAGTGACCTAAGCCAATACCATTAAAAACAAGAAGTTACCTTTGCCCAAAATAAAATTAAAGTTTAAAAATTATAGCCCTAAACTTTTTCCCCCAAAGCTAAAATTAGGTGCAGCTATAAAAATAAGGGACCCTATGCTTAGCTAGCTGCGACACTTGTGCCTGGTTATGCTAAGACCTAACCCAGTTTGTATGCCTCCTAATACTCAGATAACGGTGTGGGAAGCAGGACGCAGCTCTCCCACCAGGGGAACAAAGGGAGCGAGACGTCATCCCCCTCAGGGTGAACAAGATGGCGCTGGCAGGGAAAGGAACTACTAAAGAAGTAAACAACAAAATGGCGACAAGGTGCATGCCTCCCATGTGATCCCAAAGCTGACTGGATAGAAGACGCATGCCCTTCACATGATCAGCTCACGGATTGGACTACTGTGTGCATGGCCTTCCATGTGATCCCGTAGCTGATTGGACAGAAGACACATGCCCTTCACATGATCAACTCACGGATTGGACTGCTGTGTGCATGGCCTCCCATGTGATCCCGTAGCTGATTGGACAGAAGACGCACGCCCTTCACATGATCAGCTCACGGATTGGACTGCTGGACGCTATAGTGCTTTTGATTGGTCGCTGCAGGTATATAAACCATGTGGCTTTGTGCTGGGGGCGCTCTCTGGACTCCCGAGTTCAGGAGGCCCGTCTGCACAGACACCAAATAAATCCTCTTGCTTTTGCATCAGCTGGTCTGGACTCTGAGTCTTTGGGGTGTGCCTCTCAACGTGTTAGCATCCTCATTCCGAGAGTCTAACAACTGACATGATGAACCAAACATACAAAAACCAAGAAAATCCAAGCCAACAACTGATCCAAGAAACACAGATTTAGTAGTATGCACAGTGGTGGTCATAGGGGCCAGGAGTGATCTGCCCCAGCAGGGGGCGTACTTTATCACGGACATTACGTAGGATGGAGGGGGCACGACAACAGTGAGAAGCAGAGGAGCTTTCTGCCAGTTTTATTATTGTTGCTAATTCTCTGTAGGGTATGCTCTCCCCTCATGCCTACTCAGGGCAGATGACTTCCACGGGCCTTGGCACGCCCGCCCCACATGTGCCACTTGTCCTGAGCTCAGGTTTGGGGATTGGAGGTGTCATCGGCAAGGGCAGGAGGTGGTTTCATGGGAGGCGCAGACCAGCCCTGGAACATTCTGATGGAAAAATGGTTTTAAAAACTCTAGGTTGCAGAGGTCAGAGGAGGCTGCTGAATCTGTCCAGCCAAACCAGGGTGTTCAGATGGAACCACAGAGAGGGGTTTGTGCATCCCTTGGCACACTCAGAACCTTCTTGGAAGCAGTTTCTGTTTTTCTGACTTGTGCTTCTAAGGCTTGTTCTACCTCTGGATACCATCCACTCATAAGAATTAGCACTACACTCATTCCCAAGTGGTTTTTAGCGCAGTTGTGATTATTAACTGTATTCTTTCTCACTGGTGTCATCATTTGACAGGAAGAAACCAAGTCCAAAGAAGGGCATGCAGTCTCACTCTGCTCTTCTGCTCCCGGCAGAAGAGAAGTCACAACCCAGGCCCGCTGAGGACCACCTCTTCACCCCACCCTTACCCTTCTCTGGGCTCCAGAATCTGGACCACCAGGCTCGAGCCCACTGACTCTGGATGACTCAATCCCTTCACCAGCCCACTATCCTCAGCTCTGGAGCTCAAGAAATCATTGGGAGGCTCAGGACCACCTCTCCTCACCCAACTCTCCCACACAGGAGACATGGTGGAGAAATGAGAAGAGTGCTGGCACTCCGACACACTTGCTTTTGTATCCTTTCTCCTCCTTACTACCTGTGTGAGCCTGGGCCAGCCACAAAATGCTTGTGAAGCTTCCTTTATGCAGCTTTAACATAGGCATAATATGCCTTACCTTTTCAGTGTGCAAGATGATTGCATGGAGTAAGGAACGGAGCATGTGCTCCATGTACAGTATCTGTCGCTGTCGAGTGTTTTTTCCGTCTTTCCTAGTTGTCTCTTCACAATCAAAGTGGAAGTTTCAACAGCACCAACAGTCTATGAAACAATTGGAATCCCTCTGCATTAGGGACCTAAAGCTCACAGACACACCAGTGATCTGCAGACCACATGCATGGCGCACACTGCAAACCACGTTGGATAAGACAGTAAGTTCCTCAAGCACTGGGAGCAGATGGCACCCCCGGCCTTGCTGGTGGTTCAGGGTTCACTGGTGTTCTGTTGCTGTTTGTCCTCACACTGCATAGAAGACCCGCGCCTGGCTCCCTGAGCCTGGGCATGATATCACATCTCAGCCTTTCTGCTGAGGCTCTTCCCAGTTTGCCAGAATCAATCCTACTCACAACAGGAGGGGGCCAGGGAGGGGGAGGCCACTGAGCCCTCCCTGAAGCCCTGCTTCTTGGGTGAAACCCACAACTAATGCTGCAGTTTAAATGCTAACTGTGGGTTCCCAGGACAGCCCCTTTAATTTCTCCTTTTGTTGGCTGGATCCCAGTTCTCCTTTCTCCTACAGGCCCCTCCTCAAATATCACACCAGCTGGGGAGCTGCCCCACCCCTAATTATTACCCCAGGGCTGCCAAGATGCAGGCTCCAGTGCAGGGGAGGATGGCAGTGGAGTACAGAACGTGACAACAGCAGCAGCAGCAGGTGGGCAGGCAGAAAAGGCCAGAAGATGGCCTCTGTGATTACTGTCATCCTCTCCAGCCAGGCAGACAGGGGGCGGAGCATGCCCTGGGCTGGCTCTGGGAGGGCCCCCACCTCCCACGGCCTCTGTTAAAGCAGGTGGAGGCTGGGGATTTCTGTACAGAAAGGTGTGCCTGGGACAAATGCTTCTGGGTGTAGGGTCGTTTGACCCAGAGAAGTAGAGTCCAGGGTGCCCTTGCCTTGGTCTACCTTCCACACTCCTCCCCAAGCAAGAGGGTTCCTGTGGACTGACTGACACAGCACAGCACAGTAAGGCATAGTGCCCTGGCCTGTTACAAAAAGGCAGGACAACCCGTTGGCAGCAAGTGAAGTTTATCTTCAGCAGCACCCAGAGCACTCCTTGTACATTTCTCTGTATATCTATGCCACTTCCCCTAGCTATTCATCCAGCCAACCACCCTCTCATTTTTTGTTGAGAACCTCCTAAGTGCCAGCTCTGTATCACATGCTGGAGACACAAAAGCAGGTAAGACTTCACCCTGACTCTGTTTCCCCATCCTCCCCCACAGCAGGTGCCCACATGGGTATCATGTACTCACATTGCTGAGAAGGAAGGGTGGCTGTCCCTACAGATGCAGGCTCAGAGTCCAAGGCCTTGCCCCGAGTCACACAGTAGGTCTCCACCCTGCATTCTGACCCAGTGCACTCTGCTCTCCGTGGCAGTGTGCTTTCTAAGGGCAGAAGGACACCATGCCCCAAGTAGTGGTGGGCATTGGAGGGGCCACTCTGGCCTTTAGCTCAGCTGTTACTCCTACCCAAGCAACTGTGGCAAGTCAAGAAACATTCATGCAACACCTGCTGGGCCAGGCCCTGTGCTCAGTGCTGGCGATGGTGAAGCGTACCACACAAGCCCTGCTCAGTCCACTTTTGCCCCCTTTCCCTCTTGTTCTTCTCTGACAGTTTTCTAGGTTGCTTGGATCTTCTTCCACCCTTGCCTGTAAGGTCCTCACTGGATTCATCCCTGGAGAAGAAGACAGCTCTCTATCCAGTGGCCTCAGCCAATGTCCAGCATTCGGCAATGCAATAGGCCTGGGCAGGAGTGGGGTAGAAGTAAAGACTTTTTGTTGATGATAGCATTACTGTTAGAAAGACTACCAAAGGGCCAACATTGACATTGTGGTATAGTAGGTTAAGCCACCACCTACAATGCCAGAATCCCATATAGGCACAAGTTCAAGTCCTAGCATTCTGATCCAGCTCCTTGCTAATGTGCCTGAGAGCACAGTGGAAGATGGTCCAAGTGCTTGGGCCTCTGCACCCACATGGATGACCCCAATGAAGCTCCAAGCTTCTGGTTTCAGCCCCATCCATTGTTGCCATTTGGGGAGTGAACTAGAAGATGGAAGATCTCTCTATCTCTCCTACTCTCTCTGCCACTCTGCCTCTCAAATAAATTAATAAAAATAAATCATTAAAAAAGAGATAAAAATTATCCTTAGGTTGATATATTAAAAATATCCCTGGGGCTGGCGCTGTGGTTTACCCAGTAGCTTTACGCTACTGTCTGCAGTGCCAGCATCCCATATGGGTGCCAGTTCAAGTCCCAGCTGCTCCATTTCTGATGCAGCTCTCTGCTATGGTCTGGGAAAGCAGTAGAAGATGGCCCAAGTCCTTGGGCTCCTGCATCCATGTGGAAGACCTGGAAGAAGCTCCTGGCTCCTTGTTTTGGATCTGCACAGTTCTGCCTGTTGCAGCCAACTGGGGAGTGAACCAGTGGATGGAAGACCTCTCTCTGTCTGTCTGTCTGTCTCTCTCTCTCTATCTGCCTCTGCTTCTCTCTGTGTGTAACTGACTTTCAAAAAAATCCCTACTAAGACACGGATTCAGTTCAATGACAACAACAACAATGGTAAAAAAGCATCTGTAGGGGCCACGGAATCCACAGGTGACTATAACTGGGAAGTTGACCTCAGAAAGGAAACATGTGTCCATCTGGGAACATCCGGTGGGACAACTGCCCAGCACAAGGTGCCCTTGATGACCTCTCATCAGGCTCCTCCGCTTTGGAGTAAGAAAGCTAAAGGTTCATCTGTACTGGGACCCAGGCCAGACATAGAACGCACTTCTTCTACCACCCAAGTCAGGCTCATTCCACTGAGCCACAGCCCCGTGCTTCATTTGCCAAGCCCTGCCTTTGCCCAGCATAGGTATAGCCCAGCCCCACTGTGGCAGCCCAGCCAGACAGCATACAAGGAGTGAGCCCAGGACAGGTGCTTGGTTTCCAGCTGACTTTTCCCAGCCCACAGATGAATCATTTATCCTGGTCTCTCTGTCTGAAAATTAGGCTGATACTCTCATCCCCAAGAGTATTTGTAAGGGTTAAGGCACTGTTCATAAATGGAAACACTATCTTATATCAGGGCTGATCCGAGATAACACTGGCAAACGCAGGCTTCCTGCCACTGGTCCCACCGTGCACGTGCAGTGCCAGCTTCTAATGGATGCACAACTTTGAGACTGAGGAAATGTGTCTCAGCTTGTTGTTTGCTTTTTCAGTCATGCCTTTGGATGGGCAAGGTTCACATTGATGGGAGATGGTTTTTTAGTCACCTAATGCTAATGTGTCACTCTTGAAGCTTATCTCTAAGATAAGATTCTTTGACTGCTAAATGGATGGCACAGGGGCCCTGCTCTGCAGTGGACAGAGAGGGAAGGGCAAATCATGAAGGTAGGACCCTACCTGTGGGTGTCAGCTGTGGGGGCAGGGGGGGCACCCTGACCATTCTGTCAAGACCAAGGAGTAGGAAAGCCATCCTTGCTGAATGCCCACCCATGACTGGGCACCACAATAGAAGGGCAACATACTATAGGCAGTGCAGGCTTTGTGCAGGCGGAGGGTACGTGACCTTGAAGGCCATGTTCTGGCTGCCCCCGCCCCGACACATCAGCCCGGTGCACACAGTTGTCAATGAACAAACATCAACACCCAATTCCCAATCATGAGAAAATAAGCAGGGTTTAGGAAGGCATGGGGAATTTAGGAGGGCCCCAGTGGGAGCCACAAGTAACACAGAAGCAGACGGCAGGAAAAATAACAACTGCTACCACAATAAAAACCTCAGCAGAACCAAAAATGATGGCTAAATTTCCCAAATATCATAATCAACATTCTAAGACTAGAAAATTCTAGCATCCTAGGGAAGAATGGTAGGGCCCAGAGGAAGGCAGAGAAGAATAATTAGAAAAGGGAGAGAACATAAAGCTGAGTTCTGGTAAGTCCAAGTGCACATGGGAAGACCACTACTCAGGGGCATGGGGTAGGGAGTGGGGCAGGTGCTGGGTTCCAGTACCAGAGGCCCAGCCCCTGATGAGCTGTGTGAGCCCAGGCACATCACCATTTTGGCAACCCAGTACCCCCATCTATCAAATAAGGGCTGTATCTGGTGACATCCGAGGTGCTGCCCACTCTAGAAGGCTATGACAAAGGAACCTGGAATACTCCCTGAAGGTTGGCCTCATGAAGTTCACCACGCACAAGAGAAGGAACATGGGACTGAGTTTACTGGGCATGAGAGAAAGGAGGTGGTGTGGCTTGTAACCTGTCTTCAAGGACACAAGGACTGGAAAATAGCTTTTCTTACTCTCCACTGCCCTGTCTTGAATGTCTTCTGCAAAACTCAAGCTGAAGCTCAATCCCTCATTTCATACATTGACAGTGCTTGGAGGTCACTGGGATTGGACAGGGCTGTCAGGATGGAGTGCCCTCAACAGGACTGGTGGCTTTCAAAGAGGCAGAGACACACACTTGCTCTGTCACCACGTGGCGCCACCTCCTTGTTTTGAAGCAGCAAGAAGCCAAAACTAGATGCCAGCACCATGCTCTTGGACCTTCTGGCCACTGGAACCATGACCTGCATAAACCTCTACTCTTTATAAACTACCCCAGGCTCTGGTGTTCAGGTACACACACAACAGAAAATGGACCAAGACAGCCACCAATGGAAAGGCACAAGGAACATGAGATTCAATAATGTTAACAGGCAGATGGATGGATTTTAAAAACACAAATCTGATTCTGCCGCTTCCCTTCTGCAATACTTTCAGCAGTTCCCACATCCATCATTCAAAGTCTGGTCCCTCCTCATAGCCCACAAGCCCTACAGATACGGACTGGATCGACCCCAGCTTCCTCCCCGGCATCCCTTCCCGGAGCGGCGTGTGCAACCCTGGCCTTCCCTTTCTGCCTGGGCAGGCTCCCCTGCAACTTCCACAACTCCCCCACAGGCCTTGGCAGACCATGCCGTGTGCAGCCCCCCCTGGAACCCTGCAGCAGGTCACTCTATCAGACGTCCAGTACCTGGTCGTCTGTTTCCCCCACCAGGAGGTGGGGGCCAGGAGAGAAGAACCCCTCTCTGTGCTCTTCAGTGTGCAGTGTGGCGAGCAGAGCTGGGCACATGGAGCAGCTTGGTGAACGCTGGCTGAATGAATGAATGGTGTTCTGTCGGTAGTGTAAACAGAAACACGGACCCATGTTTTCCACAGGTGCACACAAGGACGGTGTGTGAGGAGCAGTGAGAGCCTTGCCTGTTAGGAGTGATCAGGTCAGAGTGGCTCCTGTGCAGTGAGTCCAGATGATGAAAACACCTAGAGCTGCAGGCCAGCTGCCCCCGACACACAGATGGCCAGCACCTTCTCTCTTTGGATGAGGACTCCAGGAGTGTCTTCACACTGGACTTGTGTCCTCTCCTGGGGCTGCCCCCACGTCCATTTGTGCCCGCTGCTAACGAGCCTCTGCAATGAAGCTAGATGCAGAAAACAAATGCCCCTGGTCCCGCTCAGAGACTTGCCATCAGGGGTGTGACCCTGGCTTTGCAGCTGCCAGTTCCTCCCTCAAGCAGCTAACCAGGCTTGTTGGGTAGGCCTAGAGGGGCAGGCAGCATGCCAAGGGGTGGACTGGCTTTGGGAAGGGGGAGATATGATCAGCATCCTCGAAATGACATCCTCATCTGATGAGGACACTAAACTAATCCTCTGGTTTATTTTTGTAAGTTTCCAAAGAAAGGGAGTGTGAATTTATTATTATTATTCCTATGATGATTTTGGCAATGTGGGGGAGTGAAGGGCAGGTGGGAAGGACTGGGAGGGTTGTGGGAAAACGGAACAGTTCTGCTCATGCCCAGCCCTCCTGGATTAACCAGAAATCACATTAGCCTGGCTCAAGATCTGCCTGTGCTGTAAGGTGCACCAAGTCAACCTGATGTTGCCATGGCAACCAGATTTCTCCCCAGCACCATAGCAACAGACTCCAAAGTGTGTTAAGCACATGACACAGTCGGCTCACACTCCGCATCTTCCTAAGCTGGGAAGAGAGCAGCAGGAGGTGGAACACAGATATTTCCTAAACCAATTAGTTGAAAACTCATATAAATGAGGCTCACTTCGAATGGAGAAAACCACAGAGGCTGGGCATCTTCATTAGAACTGCCCACAGACATTGGGGATACCATCAAATTTATGGGGCCCACATGCAGTTTCCTACATCATAAACAATCTGATGTTATCATAACAACATGCTTCACAAAGGAAGGTCTCTTTTTAGGGCCATGTCAAAAATAACCAACTAACCAACAAAACAAAAGCTTCCTCCTTGCCCTTCTAACTTCCCCAACGTCCAAGAGAGTTAAAAGAGAAGAAAACCTAGCACATGCTCCCCACAGCTACTTTTAATGATCAGTGCCACTTTGCTTGGCCTGGTGATAGAGCTGTCCTATCATCAGGGAAGAAACACGGGTCTGGAAAGAATGGACCTCCAAATAGCTTGTCATTTAATTCCACGCATTTCAACACTATGGCCCAAGAGTCTGAGGTAAGAGAGACAGTTGCCCCATAGCATGTGCACCCCACTCCCCACACCATTTATTGCTGCTGGGCTTTCTATATCATTATGCTACAAGCTTAAGTCTATTTGTTTCATTGACCTAAGGCAGAGGTTCTCAAAGTGTGACTGCTGAAGCAACAGGAGCCAGGGCATTACCTGGCAGTGTGCTGGAAACGCAAATTCTTGACCATCCTCCCCATTCCTGCTGACTCAGAAACTCGGGGGGTGGGTCCAATCCCTGCTTTAACAAGTCATCAGATTGAGTTTGTTGCAAAGTAAAGGTTGAAAATCACTGGCCTAAGGAATCTATTCAATTTTCAGTGTTTGTTTTCTGCCCAACTTGGCCTCCACTCAGTCGCTGATGGAATTACAGACTCTTGCTACAGGGATCTTTGAATGCCTACTTTTTAAAAAGTTCATTTTTATTTTTAATGGACACGGGAACTATATATATTTATATGGTACAATGTGACATTCCAATACATGTATACAATGTGTAATGACCAGGTCAGGATAACTGGTCTCTCTAGCATCTCAGATACATATCACTTCATTGAATTGAGAATATCCAAAATCCTCTGTACTAGCTACTTATATTCAATTAACTGCTGCAGCCAGAGTTATCCTATTGTACTGTACAACGTTAAAAGCTATTCTCCTAACCGTGTGCACCCCTGCTCCCATGACTCACCCTCTCTCCATCTACTCCCCTCCTCCCTGTCTCTGGTAACCACTGTTCTACTCCCTCTCCTGTAAAATCAATTTTTTTAGCTTCCCTATATAGTGAGAACGTGCAGTATTTGTCTCCATGCTTGACTTATTTTATTTAACATGCTGTACTCCTGTTCCAGACATTTTGCTGCAAATGCTAGAATGTGATGCCTTTCAGTCCAATTTCTGCCCAATGAAGCCTCGCAGTGTCACTCTTTAAGGAGATTCTTTGTCCCCGTGAGCTCACTATGTTGCAAGATGAACACCTAGCCACACCTTACATAGCTCTAAAAATCTCCTCAGCCTTTAACTCCTCCCCAGGAACCAGTTCCGTTTGCTAAAGTCACTCAGAATTCATCTCATGTCTCTTCTTTGGGATAGTATTTGAAATCAGCTCTTACATTGCCACCCAAATGTTCTCTCCAGGTTAGACATCCCTAGATCCCCCTACAGTTCCACATAGAACAGTTAGAACAGTTCCCTTGCGCTCCCTGCTGCATGTGGCCAGCTGTAGCTGAGGAAGCTCTTGAGATGCTGGAAACGTGCAGGCTTAGGCCTTTGGTGCTCTACACCTGCAGAGAAAGCCGCGGACTGCCCCCTCCTCCTCCACTGGACACTATAAACACAAACACTGACAAGGCAACCTTACAATGCTTTGGTTACAGCCATATCACTCAAATAACCCTTGTATTGTAAATGCAATAGTTGTTAGTCCTGTTTATTCTGGGGCCCAGAGCACATACCTTTCCATTTCTAATAATAAATTTATCTCATTAGCTTTGGCCTGGAATTTTTATTCACATAATATTCAATTTATTTTGATATTGCATAGAAAATCTGATATTAGGCATGTTCATTTTCCTTTAAAAATCTATTATATTGCTGTCCATATATTTTATATCCTACTATTACTGTAAAATGAGAATTTAGACTTGTTACATTCAGAAACATTTTTTATTAGCTCATCACATGAATTATAGGGTGATCAACTTAAACATTCCCTTTTGACACTGGATTTTTCCCCAATTTTTTGCTGTTATGCACATTGTTATAATGAATATCATTGTATATAAATATAAATCTTTGTAAATTGCTGATAAAAGCGTAAGAATATTTCAAAAACCTTGATATATATTACTAAATCATTTCCAATTTTTTTCCTACATATATCATGATATATGAGAGCCCATTTCACCATACTTTTTGCTAATGTATTACTATTTTTTAAATCTCTGTCAATTTAATAAGTGGAAAATGGCATCTTCTTTTAATTTACACTTCTCTCTTATTAGCAAGGCTGGTTTTAAAAATGCATGTACTGGGCCGGCACTGTGGTGGTAGGTTAAGGCACTGGTATTCCATATGGACATTGGTTTAAGTCCTGGCTGCTCCACTCCTGATCTAGCTCCCTGCTATTATACCTGGGAAAGCAGTGGAAGATGGCCCAAGTCCTTGGACTCCTGCACCTGTGTGGGAGACCCGGAAGAAGCTCCTGGCTCCTGGCTTCGGATTGGCCCATCTCCCGCCATTGTGACCATTTGGGGAGTGAACCAGCAGATGGAAGACCTTTCTTTCTGTCTCTCCCTCTCTCTGATTGTAACTCTACCTCTCAAATAAATAAATGAATAAATTTTTTAAAAAAGATGCATTTACTGACCAACAGGTAGTCTACATTTTGCAAGAAGTCTATTCAAGTCATTTGTGTTTCTCTGGTTGATTTCCAGGATCTTTTTATGTAACAGCAATATTGACCCTGTCCCTAGACATTTTAAAAATAAACATTTTCCCAGTTTTGCACTCTAGAATTTTCTGAAATTTTCCTGTGTGTAAAAGTTTTACATTTTTATTTGTTGAATCTGCTTATATTTCCTTTTATGCTTTCTTCCATTAATTTTATTTTCAAAAAATTTCTCCTGGGGGCTGGTGCTGTGGTGCAACAGGGTAAAGTCCCAGCCTGCATCCAGCATTCTATACGTGCACCGTTTCGAGTCCTGGCTGCTCCACTTCCAATCCAGCTCCCTGCCAATGCGCCTGGGAAATCAGTGGAAGATGGCCCAAGTGCTTTGGCCCCTGCACCAATGTGGGAGACCCCAGAAGAACCCCCTGGCTCCTGGCTTCAGATCAGCTCAGCTCTGGCCATTGTGGCAACCTGGGGAACAAACCAGCGGATAGAAGACCTCTCTTTTCTCTCTCTGTTTCTACCTCTCTCTGTAACTCTGTCAAATAAATAAAAATAAATCTTTAAAAGAAAAAGTTCTCCTGGGGCCGGTGCTGTGGCATAGTGGGTAAGGCCACCACCTTCGGTGCCGGCATCCCATGTGAGCATCAGTTCAAGTCCCGGCTGCTCCACTTTTGATCCAGCTCTCTGCTATGGCCTGGGAAAGCAATAGAAGATGGCCCAAGTCCTTGGGCCCCTGCACTCACATGGGAGACCAAGAAAAAGCTTCTGGCTCCTGGCTTCAGATTGGCACAGTTCTGGCCATTGTGGCCATCTGGGAGTGAACCAGCAGATAGAAGATATCTCTCCCCACCCCCCCTCTGTAACTCTGCTTTTCAAATTAAAAAATAAATGTCTAAAAAAAAGTTCTACTTCTGAGAGCAAATATTCATGTTCCCCCACTTCTTCTAGCCTATTATTTGACATTTAACTGTTTGATACATCTGTAATTAATTTGGCTACATGTAGCCAAAATGGTAGGTGGGTGAAATTATTTCTTTTCAAATAATACTTAACAATTAGGTGTTCCCACCTTGTCCACCTTCCATCGGGCCCTAGTGTTTCCTTTGAGTAGGTTCTCATAACTATAAATGCAGTTAGACAAGACACATCCGAAATTCATTTTTTGAGAGACATTTTAAAGTTCGTTTCACCATCCATGAATCAGAGGTAATGTTAAACAGATTTTCTGAGGGGAAAACAGATTTTGTTTTCTAGTACACAAGGTATGCTCCCATAGAGCATGCACAGGATAAAGTAAATTTTCTTCTGCCTTTCCACTGATGCATGATTGTGTGGCTCTAGCCTTCCACTTTGAAAATGCTGTTACTGTACACAAGTTTTTTTAGACACATTTCTGTCCAAAAATGTTATCCCGTACATCAGCTACCTTTGTTCCAGAGTGTGTTTCCTGCTTGTGTGGATTCCTTCACCTGCACCCATCTGCTCAACCAGGGAGAAGCATGCCCGCAGGAGGAGAGGACTCGCCTCACGATGCCTCTGCATGCCTTCCTTGGTGAACTCTGCCTGTGTTTGTCCAGAGCAACTCAGGGTGGTTTTTGCCAGGTATCCTCTTCCTTTCCACTCTCATCAAAACAAACAAACAAAACCATACCCTGGGCTGTTGATTGGGATTTCTTAATAAATTATGAATAAAGCTGGAAAGAGCTAATATCTTCCTGATATTCAATCATTCCTAAAAAATACATTTCCACTTAATTAAAATAATCTTCGATGTCTTTCAGTTAAACAATTTTTCCATGCAGTCACATGTATTTAAGAGTATTTCCACTAAGAACATTTTAAGTTTTGGAATTATTATAAATAGGAATTACTCCCCAGTCTATTTCTAAATGGTCATTTTTGATACACAAAAAGCTATTTGCTTTGAAGACACCAGTATTTATGTCCTATCCAGCTACCTTTCTATCAATCCTAGCTATTTTTAATTAATTTCTGGGACTGTAATCATATTATTTGCAAATACTGACAATTTTACATGTTTCCTTCCACTTCCTGCTTCGTGGTATCCTCCAGACCTTTCACAATGCCAGGTAGCAGTAATCCCAGTACACATTCCTTCCTTGTTCTTGTTTTTAGAGGGAATGTCTCCAGGGTTGCAGTCCTAAACATCTGCTGTTGGCTTGAGATGGACAGAGTGGATTGTACTGCACGCTGCATTTTTTCAGTTGGCTTATTAAGTGTTTATGATAATAATTTTCCCAATATCAAATAGTCATTTAATTTACTGTATATATCCTACCTCATGTGTAGCCATTAAATTCCATTTTTTATTTGTTTTTGTTTTTTCACTTTTGTACAAAGGTAAGATCGTTCTAAAACATTGTTATTGTTGCTATTTTTGGTGACATCTTTCTCAGAATAATGTTAGTTTTACTAAAGAGATTCTTAATTTTAATTTGTTTTCTGTGTTCTGGGACAAATTTTCTGAAATTTATATTTTTCCAGACTGTTGTAACTAGAATTTTCAAATTTCTTAGCATACAACTATGAATAGCATTCATTCACTTAATCTGAAAATCTCCCATGTTTATGTCATCATATTTCTTTTATTAACCTTTCTTTTCTTTTTTTTATTCTAAACTTTTCAGAGGTCACCTAATTTATTTTGTAGCACTACACCTTTAATATATTTATCAAATCTAGTCTTATATTGTCCCTAAATAATTACTGTATTTTATTTTTAGACTTTCTGCATCATTTTGTTTTTAGTGTTTCTCTTGTAGAGAATATAGATGGATTTCATTTTTTAACCTGAATCTCTGAGTCTTAGGCTTTCAATAATCAGAGCAGTTAGCCCACTTACATATATTATCATAGTTAATCTATTTGAGCTTACTTTTGGCATTTTTATGCTTGCGGACATTTCTCTGTGTGTTTGTCTTCTTTGCTTCATTTGGGAGTATTTTATTTTGATCTTTTCATACAAGTAATTTTTTTTTCAAAGATGTGCTTATTTATTTGAAAGAATTTCACAGAGAGAGACAGACAGAGAGAGAGAGATCTTCTATCCACTGGTTCACTCCCCAGATGGCCGCAACAGCTGGGGCTGGACCAGGCCAAAGCCAGGAGCCAGGAGCTTCTTCCAGGTCTCCCATGTGAGTGGCAGTGGGCCAGGCACTTGGGCCGTCTTCTGCCGCTTTCCCCAGGTCATTAGCAGGGAGCTGTATCGGAAGTGGAGCAGCTGGGATTTGAACAGGTGCCCATAAGGGATGGCAGTATCCTGGGCAGCAGCTTTCCACTATCCCATAATGTCATTAGTAATTTAATCTTATGTTACATATGCAACTTCTCATTCTGTTAGTTCTCAAAAAAGAATGTTAAGTTCCAATTTCTCTCTTAACCAGAGTAAACAGTTCTCATGACTAACATCTGTAAGTTTGGTAAGAGCTATAATTCATTGAGTACTTTATCTATATTTTCTATGTAATCTTCGTAGAAATCACACCATTTCACTGTGGTTCAGAAAGATTAAATAACTCTTGCATGGTCCCATGAATAGTGAGTGGCAAAATTATTATTCTTTTGCAGGTCTCTCTGATCCCAGACCTTTCATTTTAAATTATTAATCCCTAGCTCTATTTAATTGGTTCCAAGTTCACCGTTGGTCTACTTTATGCTGTCTTAGAGTCCTTGATTTTGATTCATATCAGTCACCGAGAGCATTAAGGATTAATTAATTCATTGTCTCAGGAGGAAGACATGAGTGCTTTATTTTCTGCGATGCTGCATGTCTTCCTACGTCTTCATGGTATTTTTCTGACTCATGTCTTATCTAACAATCCAGTTCTTCGGGACTGTCCGTGGGTAGGCATGTGGCGTGCATGTCGGGAATGTGCCTCTCAAGTCACCCATTCCCATGTGTGCTCCGAACTGTTCCTTAATTTACAAAGGGACTGCCAATTTCAAAGTTTTTGGAAGTTGTATGCCGCATTTTTGAAAGTTCCTAGGGGGTTGGTGTTGTGGTACAGTAGAATAAGCCTCCGTGTATAGCACCAGCATCTCAAAGGGCGCCAGTTCAAGTAACAGCTACTCTACTTCTGATCCAGCTCCCTGCTAATGCACCTGGGAAAGCAGTGGAAGATGGCTCAAGTATTTGGGCCCTGCACCTGTGTGAGGAGATCTGGAAGCAGCTCCTGGCTCTTGGCTTTGGATGGGCCCAGCTCCAGCCATTGCAGCCATTTGGGGAGTAAATCAGCAGATGGAAGACCTTTCTCTGTCTCTCCTCTTTGTCTGTAATTCTGCTTCCCAAATACATAAAATAAACAAACAAATCTTTGAAGAAAAAAAAAGTTCCTAGGAAGCCTATCAAGCATGTTTGGTTCCTTGTCCAGTAAGAAGCCAGTGTGGATTTCATAACTGCTTTTTACTATTTCTGGCATTAGCCATCTCTCCCAAGTTTGTATCTTTGACATAGTCGGTAAGTGTGTTTGCAGTTCCAGGAAAGTTCATGTTGACTAGGCCCTGAGATCCACAACACTGAACTGGAGGCCTCTTTCCAGACTGACATCAAACTGCTATCCCACATTCTTTGAGCAGTATTGGCCAATCAATTACAAGCCCATTTCGCTATATTTTTACAGAGAAATCATGATAGATGCTCCTAAATTCCTTACTGAAACCAACAGACTTTAGTATTTTTTAATCTGAGCCTAGCAACCCTACAACAAAAGAAAACTCAGTTAATTTGGCATGTTTCCAACACTGCTGATTTCTTTCTAAGGCACACACAAGTCATCTTTTAAGAAACATATCTTAAGAGTCTGCCAGGAATTAATGTCAGGCTTGTTCTTTTAGGGCCTCTGAGCTATAGGAAAATCCATCATCCGCTGTCTCTGTCCCATAATCTCACTTAGGTCACTACCAGAAGGGTTCAGCAAGCATAAGGGAGGTTCTTCCGCTTGTTCGGATAACACTGGTCAGGACAGACTGGAATCCTTTCATACATTTATTCAATTCCTTTGTGAGGATGTGTTGCACTGCCTCCAGTGTGTAGACCACTCTTGGGAAGATGGGGCTGCGCCTCCCTTAGTCTCAGAAGGCCACATTGTGTCCTCAGCCTTCTCTACAAACCTGGGCTTACTCTACTCTCGTTTTCAGAGATTTTCATGGACTCAACCCCCACGTCCACCCCACCGCCATGCTCTGCACCTGCTGAAATCCCCTTTGCTGGTGTCTATGTTGTCTTATGTGCCACAGCTCCCACTTCCGGGAGGAGGAACCCTCGTGTGGCTGGCCCCCTTCCTCTAGGGTTGCCTCCCCCCCCAAAAAAAAAAAACCCTTCCTCTTGGCCCAGAATGAGTGCCGCCTGCTTCTCCCCTTGCTCTCTGAGAGCCGGGGCTCTCGGTCATCCACAGCAAGAGGACAGTCAGAGGCTCTGCTTCCAGCTGAACAAGGCTTCCAGCAGAAGACAGCGCTATTTGATAAGCTGATTTCAGAAATCATTACCCGTATCTGTTCACCCAGGCAGTCTGTGGTACATGTCTACCTGGTACCCAAAATTTCTCTCTGTTTCATCCTGATGAAGTCCCTCCACTTGGCCACCACATTCATTGGGTAGACCTCACTCACAGATGGTCTCACTCCCAACCCCTGCTACCAGTGCAGCACCTTTCAAACAAGGTGCACACCCTCACTGCCACCCCTCAGTCTCTTTCCCACCCTCAGAGCTACCTGCCCATTTTCCCTTTTGCATTAACACTTCAAACATATTTCCTTATCCCATGCATTCACCTACAGCATTTCAGAATAACATCAATTATGGAAGGAAAACAGTTCAAAGTGA